GGTCTAAAGCACCTACTTAGAACAAGCAAAGCTAAGGTAATATAACCTGTGGCAGTGTCAAGGCTGTGATATTTTCCTTGTGGTTTGGTCTCAATAAAAATTTCATTGTTTCCTCAGCATTGTATTTCTTTTATCTGGGTAGTGAATAACTTTCTCAGTACGTTTCTCTTGTTATGTTTAAAATAAGGGCCAGGGAGATAACTCAGGTCTGAGTGCCTATCTGGCAAGCACAAGGACCCAAGTTTGATCCCTGATACCACATGGATTGCTAGCCCTGAACCAGCCACTAAAAACCAAGTGTGGTGACACACCCCTGTAGTCCCAGTGCTGGCGAGACTGAAATAGGAGGATCACTATAAGTCTTAAGCTGCGTAGCGAGATCCTGTACCAAATAAATAATTTTTTTAAAAAAAAAGTTTTAAAAAAATAAAAATAAATGAAGATGTCCAGAAGAGTGGGAATTCATGTTACAGTTCAGATGCAGGACTAGATTGTTAAAATAAGCACTAAAAGGATAGAAAATTATGACTGAAATCCATAAATGTACAAAAGACACTCACCTGGGCACGGTTACACACACCTGTAATCCCAGCACTCAGAAGGCTGAGGCAGGTGGACTGCCATGAGTTCAAGGCTAGCCTGGGCTACATAGTTCAGAGCCAGTCTGAACTACAAAGCAAAACCCTGTCTCAGACAAAAAACCTCTTAGAAGTGAGTATACTCATGCTTGCCAATAATCCCAGCAATGGTGAGGCTGAGGCAGGGAGATCTTAGGTTCAAAACCAGCCTGGACTACATAAGACCCTGTCTCAAAAAAAAAAAAAAAAAAAACAAAAAAAAAAAAAAAAAAAAACGATGGGCCTTGGGAGATGGCTCAGTATAATAAGCGCTTGAGCACAAGGGTCTGAGTTCGATCCCCAATTCTGGGAAAAAAATAGATAGATAGATAGATAGATAGATAGATAGATAGATAGATAGATGTGTTTGGTGGTTATTACACTGGTACCAGAGATTTTTTTTTATTTTTTTTTTTTTTAATTGTACTGGTGATTGAACCAAGGGCCTTGTGCTCAGTTACATCCCCAGGCCCACACTTCCCATTGGTTTGGTTTGATGTTTTATTTTTGTTTTTAAACATTAAGACAGGGTCTAGATAAATTGCCCAGGTCAGGCTTGAATTTGCTATCCTCCTGTCTCAACCTCCCAAAGTGCTGGAATTATAAACTTGCACCACTATGCCGTGCATATAGCCATGCTAAATGCACGGAATTAATTTGAGAGAGTCCTCTACTTAGTGCTATCAAATCCTTCAATTCTCATTTAAATAATCTATAATCCAGGGCTGGCCAAATAGCTTAGAGGATTAAAGCGCCTGCTTAGGCAGACACAAGGACCAGTTCAATCCCTGGTGTGCCATGCCAGCCCCACTCCTGGGGCGCTGAGATGGCGATTGAGACTGGGTGTGGTGGCACAAGGCTGTAATCTGAACACTTGGGAAGCTGAAAACGGGAGAATCACTACTTTTTTGATCTGTGTAGTGAGACCCTGTAGACCCTGTACTAAATACATACATTAAAAAATCCATAATCCGTTGATTTTCCTTTTTTATTTATTTTTATTTTTATTTTTTGTGTTTTAGGGAAGGGTCTAGAGGGTGTTCAGGGTCTCACTACTAGAGGGACTCAGTAGTGATCTGCCTTTTTATAGCTTCCCAAAAGCTGAGATTACAGGCATGTGCCACCATGCCCAGTGTCTTTTTTATTTTTATTTTTTGATTTTCCTATTTTAAATAACAACTAGAAACAAGTGGGAGCCACTTTCTTGTGTCCCTGACTTGGAAAATCAGTACTCACATTAGAGAATACTTACATGCCTGCCACACCTCACATTTTATATACATGGACAATGGGACATTAAGTGGAGTCCTGGAAGCAATGTTATAAGAACTCCAGGGTTGTCAGTTGGAAATACCCTCTAGGGCTCTTCAAAGTCCTGGAACAAGGACTAGTCCCTTTTTCTTCTGGTGCAGAAAGGTCATTGATTTGGGTGTTAACAAAACGTTTGACCTGACAGTATGACATGGGTGGATATATACAAAAAAATAGATAGATAGATATAGGGAATCAAGGTCAACACTAGCCCAAAATTTTACCTAATATATAAATACTATGTATTTATGGGGTGCCGTATGATATTTTGATACATGTGTGCACTCTTGCCTTCCTATAATTAACTTTAGCGTAGTGTGATATCTTGTTCTGATATTATAACTTTAAGAACATTCATTGTCCCAATTAGAGAAGGTTAGTGTTGACCCACTATCATCATCCTCATAACACTGCTTCAAGACTCATTAGTGTCCCATTGTCCATGTATATAAAATGTGAGGTGCGGCAGGCATGTAAGTATTCTCTAATGTGAGTACTGATTTTCCAAGTCAAATGCACAAGAAAGTGGCTCCCAATTGTTTCTAGTTGTTATCTAAAACAGGCAAATCAAAAAATAAAAATTAGGGCTGGTGAGATGGCTCAGTGGTCTAAAGCACCTACTTAGAACAAGCAAAGCTAAGCAGGGACCGCGGTTCAATCCCCCAGCACCACATGCCAGCCAGCCCCGCCTCCCGGTGGGCTGAGCTGGTCACACACACTAAATAAATAAATAAATAAATAAATAAATGAAATCTTTAAAAAAAAAATAAATAAATAAAAATAAAAAAAATAAAAATTATATATGTGTGTGTGTGTGTGTGTATCCACTACACCAGAGCTTGTTTTCATTCTGCATATATTGTATTAAAACAAACACAAAACCAGGAGCCTAGAGCCTAGACGCGTGGATGGTTATCTCAATTTCACACAAAGGAAATAATGAGGAGGAGGCCCAGCCTCCCCCCGCTGGCCATTCATTGGTAATGAAACTAAAAACTGGCAGCTTACCCACAAGCCCCGGCTTCTCCTAAGTATCGCGAGGCGAAATGTAAAAATTACAGACCTGCGATTGGCTCGCGACCTGTGGTGACGCCAGACGTAAAGCGTCGACCCCACCGCGGGAGCGTGACGGAGGTTGTAGATTCCTTTCAAAGGCTCCCTGAGCCCTTCGACTAGACAAGATGAGCAAAGCTCACCCTCCCGAGCTAAAAAAGTAAGTCGCGCGTGATACCCTCGCCCAAGGGCCGCTTCTCTGCGTGCTCGGAGTCCGTTTCCCTTCTTTCGTCTGGCGAGTGTGTGCCAAACAGCTTGGGTCCCTTCAGCCGAGCTGATGTCTCCTTCCGGTCGGAGCCCGCGGAATTCTGACCAGGGGCTCGCGCTTCGGAGTGTGAAGCTAGCGAAGACGCCGCCTGTTGGGCCTATCGGCGCTCCTCCGTTTGGCTGGTTCACGGCCCGGGTCTCCTCGTGATCCCTTCCTCTTTGAAGAGCTCCAGTACCTCGTTTGGGTGAACATCTTGAATAACATCATGTCCTGAGTAAAATGGTTTGAGAGATAATTTCATAAGGAATTACGGGACTTGCTGGAGTGCAAGTGTTTAGTATATAATTAATCGAAAAGCCGTTCAACGGGCTGGGGAGATAGCTCAGTAAACTAAGCTCCTGCCTGGAGAGAGCAGGGTCCCGAGTTCAATCCTTGGCACCGAAAAAAAAAAACGCCGCTTAAGCCGTAGTGAATGTGTTTGTAGCTGTTTCTTTGTGCTTTTGTATAGATAGCCCATTTCTTTTTCTTGCACCTTTTTTAAAGAAAAATTTTACCTGATATATAAATACCATGTATTTATGGGGTACCATGTGATGTTTCAATATATGTGTGCACTCTTGCCTTCCTATAATTACACTTTGGCATAGTGTGATATCTTGGTCTGATATTATAACGTTAAGAATTTTCATTGTCTCAGTCGGAGAAGGCTAGTGTTGACCCACCATGATCAAACAGTAGGATATCCTT